TATTAGCTCCCCTACCCTGCTACCAGTCTCCCTATTAGCTCCCCTACCCTGCTACCAGTCATCCTATTAGCACCCTACCCTGCTACCAGTCCACCTACCTACCTACCTGTTTTTTTTTAACCATAAAGCTGGTCGAATAAGTCAACCATACTCCTTGAACAAGCAAATTCAAACTTCCGAGTTCGAGTTATTTAGCAGTAAGTGTCCAGGAGTTGGTCGAGGGCTGAAGTCTCGTGGTTGGTCAGTGAAGGCGTCTTCAACGGCCTCTTAAAGTAATCATCCCGCGGTCGATAAACCTAACACCACCACCACAACCGGTCATCGGGATATACAGAACCACTTGCGCCAGTGAGGAACACCCGTAGGGGCCGTGGGAAGGATTCGAACCTATGCGGTGGGTGGTATAAATATTCCCAGTTTCACGCCTCGGAGAATTTATCCTCGCAGGCAGAGAGAGCGCCGGGTCGAGCCGGATGGATTAAAGTGTGAGGTCGGAAGGTTGCTCTCGGCTACACTGATACCATCCACACGCTGCTTGAAGGCTATACTGACGGCATCATGGTGCTCCCAGCTACACTGACTGATAGAGAGAACTGAGAGAGAACTCTTATCAACATCAAAGGCCCGAGACTATTCAACACGCTTCCACTACACATAAGGGGCATAACTGGCCGACCCCTCACAGTGTTCAAGAGAGAACTGGATAAACACCTCCAAAGGATACCTGATCAACCAGGCTGGTCCTAACTACACTGTGTCACGCTGATCCTAATGTAACAGCTATAAGTGGTTCCTCTCTTATTATTCTCCATTCCCCCTTCTCTTCCTCTTCTTTCGATTTCCCAGACCTGTGGTTACACCACTGGCGGGGTAGTCACGTGTTGGGTGGCAGGGATCCCCTCCGACAGGTGTAGGGCTGCAGGGGTCCCCTCCGACAGGTGTAGGGCGGCAGGGATCCCCCTCCGACAGGTGTGTAGGGCGGCAGGGATCCCCTCCGACAGGTGTAGAGCGGCAGGGGTCCCCTCCAACAGGTGTGTAGGGCGGCAGGGGTCACCTCCGACAGGTGTGGGGCGGCAGGGGTCCCCTCCGACAGGTGTAGGGCGGCAGGGGTCCCCTCCGACAGGTGTATGGCCGCAGAGGTCCCCTCCGACAGGTGTAGGGCGGCAGGGGTCCCCTCCGACAGGTGTGTTGGGCGGCAGGGGTCCCCTCCGACACATGTGTTGGGGACAGCGGTGATCTAGTGAGGGATATTGGCAGGTATTGTAGTGAGTGATGGAGGACAATACCTAGTGGACAATACCTGGAGGACAATACCTGGTGGACAATACCTGGAGGACAATACCTGGTGGACAATACCTGGGGGGACAATACCTGGTGGACAATACCTGGTGGACAATACCTGGAGGACAATACCTGGTGGACAATACCTGGAGGACAATACCTGGTGGACAATACCTGGTGGACAATACCTGGTGGACAATACCTGGAGGACAATACCTGGAGGACAATACCTGGAGGACAATACCTGGTGGACAATATCTGGAGGACAATACCTGGAGGACAATACCTGGTGGACAATACCTGGTGGACAATGCCTGGTGGACAATACCTGGAGGACAATACCTGGAGGACAATACCTGGTGGACAATATCTGGAGGACAATACCTGGAGGACAATACCTGGAGGACAATACCTTGGGGACAATACCTTGGGGACAATACCTGGGGGAACAATACCTGGGGGAACAATACCTGGGGGACAATACCTGGAGGACAATACCTTGGGGACAATACCTTGGGGACAATACCTTGGGGACAATACCTGGGGGAACAATAACTGGGGGACAATACCTGGGGGGACAATACGTGGGGGGACAATACCTGGGGGACAATACCTGGGGGGGGACAATACCTGGGGGACAATACCTGGGGGGAAAATACCTGGGGGACAATACCTGGGGAGACAATACCTGGAGGACAATACCTGGAGGGACAATACCTGGAGGACAATACCTGGAGGACAATACCTGGGGGGACAATACGTGGGGGGGACAATACGTGGGGGGGACAATACCTGGGGGGACAATACCTGGGGAGACAATACCTGGGGGGACAATACCTGGGGGACAATACCTGGGGGGACAATACGTGGGGGGGGACAATACCTGGGGGGGACAATACCTGGGGGGACAATACCTGGGGGACAATACCTGGGGGACAATACCTGGGGGGACAATACCTGGGGGACAATACCTGGTGGACAATACCTGGGGGGACAATACCTGGGGACAATGCCTGGGGGACAATACCTGGGGGGTACAATACCTGGGGGGACAATACCTGGTGGATAATACCTGGTGGACAATACGTGGAGGACAATACCTGGAGGACAATACCTGGAGGACAATACCTGGAGGACAATACCTGGAGGACAATACCTGGAGGACAATACCTGGGGGACAATACCTGGGGGACAATACCTGGAGGACAATACCTGGGGGACAATACGTGGGGGGACAATACGTGGGGGGACAATACCTGGGGGGACAATACCTGGGGGGACAATACCTGGTGGACAATACCTGGGGGGACAATACCTGGGGGGACAATACCTGGGGGACAATACCTGGTGGACAATACCTGGGGGGACAATACCTGGGGACAATAACTGGGGGGGACAAAACCTGGGGGGACAATACCTGGGGGACAATACCTGGTGGACAATACCTGGGGGGACAATACCTGGGGAACGATACCTGGGGGACAATACCTGGGGGGACAATACCTGGGGGGACAATACCTGTAGGACAATACCTGGAGGACAATACCTGGAGGACAATACCTGGAGGACAATACGTGGGGGGGACAATACCTGGGGGACAATACCTGGTGGACAATACCTGGGGGACAATACCTGGAGGACAATACCTGGGGGACAATACGTGGGGGGACAATACGTGGGGGGACAATACCTGGGGGACAATACCTGGGGGGACAATACCTGGTGGACAATACCTGGGGGGACAATACCTGGGGGGACAATACCTGGGGGACAATACCTGGTGGACAATACCTGGGGGGACAATACCTGGGGACAATAACTGGGGGGGACAAAACCTGGGGGGACAATACCTGGGGGACAATACCTGGTGGACAATACCTGGGGGGACAATACCTGGGGAACGATACCTGGGGGACAATACCTGGGGGGACAATACCTGGGGGGACAATACCTGTAGGACAATACCTGGAGGACAATACCTGGAGGACAATACCTGGAGGACAATACGTGGGGGGGACAATACCTGGGGGGACAATACCTGGTGGACAATACCTGGGGGGACAATACCTGGAGGACAATACCTGGGGGACAATACCTGGGGGGACAATACCTGGGGGACAATACCTGGGGGACAATACCTGGAGGACAATACCTGAGGGGACAATACCTGGGGGGACAATACCTGGAGGACAATACCTGGGGGGACAATATCTGGAGGACAATACCTGGGGGACAATACCTGGAGGACAATACCTGGGGGACAATACCTGGAGGACAATACCTGGGGGGACAATACCTGGGGGGGACAATACCGGGGGACAATACCTGGAGGACAATACCTGGGGGAACAATACTTGGGGGACAATACCTGGGGGACAATACCTGGAGGACAATACCTGGGGGACAATACCTGGAGGACAATACCTGGGGGACAATACCTGGAGGACAATACCTGGGGGACAATACCTGGGGGACAATACCTGGGGGACAATACCTGGGGGGGACAATACCTGGGAGGACAATACCTGGAGGACAATACCTGGAGGACAATACCTGGAGGACAATACCTGGAGGACAATACCTGGAGGACAATACCTGGAGGACAATACCTGGTGGACAATACCTGGTGGACAATACCTGGTGGACAATACCTGGAGGACAATACCTGGAGGACAATACCTGGAGGACAATACCTGGGGGGGACAATACCTGGGGGGGACAATACCTGGGGGGGACAATACCTGGGGGGGACAATACCTGGGGGGGACAATACCTGGTGGACAATACCTGGGGGACAATACCTGGGGGGACAATACCTGGGGGAACAATACCTGGGGGACAATACCTGGGGGAACAATACCTGGGGGAACAATACCTGGGGGACAATACCTGAGGGACAATACCTGGGGGGGACAATACCTGGGGGATCAATACCTGGGGGAACAATACCTGGGGGATCAATACCTGGGGGAACAATACCTGGGGGACAATACCTGGGGGGACAATACCTGGGGGGACAATACCTGGGGGGACAATACCTGGGGGGACAATACCTGGGGGGACAATACCTGGGGGGACAATACCTGGGGGACAATACCTGGGGGCAATACCTTTGGGACAATACCTTGGGGGACAATACCGTGGGAGACAATTCCTGGGAGACAATACCTTGGTGGACAATACTCTGGTAGATAAGTGTGAAAATGAACTTTGGAGAGTTATTTTTTCAACTACCCCCGACAGTGAAGAAAAACACGGGTTACTAATTGCTTTTTCTTAATCCATATGGAACAGACATCACACTACAGTTCCTGATCGGGAAGATGCTGTTGCAAGACTGCTGGGAGTAGTGGGACTGGTGATGGAGAGTGTCTTCCCGCTCTGCCTTGATCCCCATTCCAGCTTCCTGTAGTGTCTGGCCTGCTGGATGTCGAACTGCATTCGACACCCTCACACAATCAACATGCCAGGCTTTGGGAGCGGGGATAGGGGGGGATAGATAGGCTTTGGGAGCTCTGTCTCTGGGGCGCTCTGTCTACCCCAGCTTTGTGGACCGGGTTAGACAGAGCGCAAAGAGCAGAGAAAGTGTCTGCAAGTGACGTTGATGTTTTGTTAGTGTGTATAAGCAGACAAATGCGTGATTACACTGGTGTCTGCTTCCCCTGTTCCAGAAGCTGCTGCCAGGGGTGTACTGATGGCATGTGTTGTATCTGTTCCAGACGAAGGTGTGGCGGAAGTGGCGGTGGGCGGGCGGTGGGCGTGGCGGGAGCGGCAGCCTGCGTGGGCGGGAAGCCTCGGCGGCGGGCCCGACGGGACGCCGCGCCCACACCGCCGTCATGGTCGGGGACGCCATGTTGGTCTACGGCGGCTACCAGGACCTGCGGGGCTCCTCCGCCGAGCTCTGGAGCTTCAATACTAGTGAGTACTCCTATGTACTGCTGAGTACACTGTATACTGCTGAGTACACTGTATACTGCTGAGTAGACTGTGTACTGCAATGTACTGCTGTGTACACTGTGTACTGCTGTGTACACTGTGTACTGCTGTGTACACTGCATAGCCAGCAGGGAGAATTGACAGGATTTCCTCCATTGCGTGATGTTAAGAGCGCTGGCTAATGATTCCTTGTTCGACTGAAACTTCGCTAACTTAACCTGACTTAATGATTTATGCTCCTAAAGGGAAAATGTGTCCAAGACGCTTGTGAACGCCTTGAACCACACGGGGTCACCACTAGTGGGGGCCACACGGGGTCACCACTAGTGGGGGCCACACGGGGTCACCAGCAAGTGGGGGGCCACACGGGGTCACCAGCAAGTGGGGGGCCACACGGGGTCACCACTAGTGGGGGCCACACGGGGTCACCACTAGTGGGGGGCCACACGGGGTCACCACTAGTGGGGGGCCTCACGGGGTGGTCCGGGGTCTAGCAGGTGATTGGGGCCCGGTCTCCTGAAGCTGTCAAATGTATGGTCTCTGGGGATAATGGTCGAGGCTTCTACATATTAATCAGTGTTGGACACCCGTCCTTGTCTGCCTGTATTACATCACCATATATGACTCTATCATGTCTCCACATCCTGGCTGTGTGTGTGTGTGTGTCTGTGTGTGTGTGTGTGTGTGTGTGTCTGTGTGTGTGTGTGTGTGTGTGTGTGTGTGTGTGTGTGTGTGTGTGTGTGTGTGTGTGTGTGTGTGTGTGTTTTGTGTGTGTGTGTGTGTTTTGTGTGTGTGTGTTTTGTGTGTGTGTGTGTGTTTTGTGTGTGTGTGTGAGAGTGTGTGTGTGTGAGAGTGTGTGTGTGTGAGTGTGTGTGTGTGTGAGAGTGTGTGTGTGTGAGAGTGTGTGTGTGTGAGTGTGTGTGTGTGTGAGTGTGTGTGTGTGTGAGAGTGTGTGTGTGTGAGAGTGTGTGTGTGTGAGAGTGTGTGTGTGTGAGAGTGTGTGTGTGTGAGAGTGTGTGTGTGTGAGAGAGTGTGTGTGTGAGAGTGTGTGTGTGTGAGAGTGTGTGTGTGTGAGAGTGTGTGTGTGTGAGAGTGTGTGTGTGTGAGAGTGTGTGTGTGTGAGAGTGTGTGTGTGTGAGAGTGTGTGTGTGTGAGAGTGTGTGTGTGTGAGAGTGTGTGTGTGTGAGAGTGTGTGTGTGTGAGAGTGTGTGTGTGTGAGAGTGTGTGTGTGTGAGAGTGTGTGTGTGTGAGAGTGTGTGTGTGTGAGAGTGTGTGTGTGTGAGAGTGTGTGTGTGTGAGAGTGTGTGTGTGTGAGAGTGTGTGTGTGTGAGAGTGTGTGTGTGTGAGAGTGTGTGTGTGTGAGAGTGTGTGTGTGTGAGAGTGTGTGTGTGTGAGAGTGTGTGTGTGTGAGAGTGTGTGTGTGTGAGAGTGTGTGTGTGTGAGAGTGTGTGTGTGTGAGAGTGTGTGTGTGTGAGAGTGTGTGTGTGTGAGAGTGTGTGTGTGTGAGAGTGTGTGTGTGTGAGAGTGTGTGTGTGTGAGAGTGTGTGTGTGTGAGAGTGTGTGTGTGTGTGAGTGTGTGTGTGTGTGAGTGTGTGTGTGTGAGAGTGTGTGTGTGTGAGAGTGTGTGTGTGAGAGAGTGTGTGTGAGAGTGTGTGAGTGTGTGTGTGTGTGTGTGTGTGTGTGTGTGTGTGTGTGTGTGTGTGTGTGTGTGTGTGTGTGTGTGTGTGAGAGAGAGTGTGTGTGTGTGTGTGTTGGAGCGCACTTCCTCGGTCAGATCAGCAACAAGGTAACTGGCCAGACCCTAATATTGATCCGTGGTAGTAATAAAATATTACTTAACTAGTCAGGTTTCTCGCCATATTCACTACGACTCTCTGTTTTCAATTTGACAGATCACTATTGACGTTCCAGCTTGACAGTTGCCAAGCTATCGTAATTTGTCAGTTGGTCAGGCAAGACCTTCCTTCGCTGATTATAATTTGTCAGTTTGGTTAAATCGTTTATACTTTTCTAAGTGTCTTGTGTGCTATAGCGAGGCTGCCTGACAAGGGTCATGCTTAATGGTGCAGTTGTTGTGTTATGAACACGTTACATTGTGTAATATTGAGAGGGTAGAGAGAGTGAGAGAGAGAGAGAGAGAGACAGAGAAAAGGGGGGGGGTGTGAACGGGAGGGGGGTAGGGGGGAGGACGAATGGGGGGTGATGAATGTGGTGGGTTAGTGGGGAAATGGGGGGGGGAGGGGAGCTCGGGGCAAGGAGAATGTAGGGGGAGAGGGGGAGGGGGGTGGAAGGAAGAGGGGGAGGATGGATACATGGATGGATGGATAGATGGATGCACAGATGAACAGATAGATAGCTATATGGATGGATAGGTGGGTACATGGATGGATAAATGAATAGATAGAGGGAATGGATAGTAAGAAGGATGAATAGACAGACAGATGGACGGAAAGATTGAGAAATGGATAAATAGATGGATGCACTCTTCATCTATTGCTAGGGCCACTTGAGCCTTCTCTTTACCCCTTCAGGGCTCAAGATTATATATATATTATAATATAATATATATACTTGACTTATTAGGCAAATCAGGCCTTGCATAGTAGGCTGAGAAGTGCGTTCTGGCTACTAGGTACGACATATATATATATATATATATATATATATATATATATATATATATATATATATATATATATCGTACCTAGTAGCCAGAACGCACTTCTTGGCCTACTATGCAAGGCCCGATTTGCCTAATAAGCCAAGTTTTCCTGAATTAATATATTTTCTCTAATTTTTTTCTTATGAAATGATAAAGCTACCCATTTCATTATGTATGAGGTCAATTTTTTTTTATTGGAGTTAAAATTAACATAGATATATGACCGAACCTAACCAACCCTACCTAACCTAACCTATCTTTATAGGTTAGGTTAGGTTAGGTAGCAGAAAAAGTTAGGTTAGGTTAGGTACGTTAGGTAGACGAAAAACAATTCATGAAAACTTGGCTTATTAGGCAAATCGGGCCTTGCATAGTAGGCCGAGAAGTGCATTCTGGCTACTAGGTACGACATATATAACTGAAAACTCACACCCCAGAAGTGACTCGAACCCATACTCCCAGGAGCAACGCAACTGGTATGTACAAGACGCCTTAATCCACTTGACCATCACGACCGGACATAATGAGGTGATAGCCGAAGCTATTTGAACCACCCCACCGCCGGCACTCGGATGGTAATCTTGGGCATAGCATTTTACCAAATCACCTCATTCTTTGGGGCACACGTTAGGAACACAAATGCGAACAAGCCTGAATGGTCCCCAGGACAATATGCAACTGAAAACTCACACCCCAGAAGTGACTCGAACCCATACTCCCAGGAGCAACGCAACTGGTATGTACAAGACGCCTTAATCCACTTGACCATCACGACCGGACATAATGAGGTGTACATACCAGTTGCGTTTAAAGCGTTCTGTTTTGTGTGTGAGAAACTCTCCAGACACAAAACAGAACGCTTTAAAAGAGACTAACGTCGTCTATGCCTTCAAATGCCCTCTTGGGGACTGTAAGCTCCAAAAAACCCAGTATATAGGCAAGACAACAACATCTCTTTCTAGGCGTTTAACGATGCATAAGCAACAGGGCTCCATTAAGGAACACATAATCTCTTCCCACAACCAAACCATCGCCAGAGAAATCCTAGTAAACAACACAGAAATCATCGATAGATACAGCGATAGTAGGCGGCTTGACGTTTGCGAGGCATTACACATCAAGAAGTCAACACCGGCAATCAATAGCCAATTAATGCACAACTATATTCTACCCACTTCAAGACTCCGCTCCAATATAGAAGCATCAAGAAATATGGACCAATAGGCTTTCTACAATCACTTCTATTCAATACCCATTGTTTCATGTTCTGGCTTGTGTTGATGAAATTAATACCTTATTAAATACCACCTCACTCCATCCACCTCACTCAAATGTAGATATAAACAAAATCGGAGATGTGTAAGTTCTATTCAGTTGTGTATGTGTTAACTAAAGTCTTTGAAAATGTAATAAGTTTTACGAAATGCGCTCAAGTGTCGCGTCAGACTAGAAATAAAAATGAATTTTGGAGAATTGATTTTTTAATTACCTCCAACAGTGAAAAGAAATGTACGAAAGATTGAGAAAATTCGTGTTAGAATTATTAATCTTACTTTTTCGGTCATATATATATATATATATATATATATATATATATATATATATATATATATATATATATATATATATATATATATAAATAATATATATATATAATGTGTGTGTGTGTGTGTGTCCTAGAGTGTGTATTCACCTAGTTGTGTTTGCGGGGGTTGAGCTTTGCTCTTTCGGCCCGCCTCTCAACTGTTTACTAACTACTTTTTTTTCACACCACACACACACACACACACACACACACACACACACACACACACACACACACACACACACACACACACACACCAGGAAGCAGCCCGTGACAGCTGACTAACTCTCAGGTACCTATTTACTGCTAGGTAACAGGGGCATTCAGGGTGAAAGAAACTTTGCCCATTTGTTTCTACCTCGTGTGGGAATCGAACCCGCGCCACAAAATTACGAGTCCTGCGCGCTATCCACCAGGCTACGAGGCCCCATATGTGTGTGTGTGTGTGTGTGTGTGTGTGTGTGTGTGTGTGTGTGTGTGTGTGTGCGCGCGCGTGTGTGCGCGTGTGCGTGTGTGTGTGAACACACAAGCCACAGATCAGTAAACACTGTAATTGGAGCCATACCGTCCAGGATCACCCCTCAAGGTACACAGTAGCCTGACCACCGATCATTGGTGCGGTGTGTGGGGGAACCGACCTATGAAATTTATATTTGTTTAATTTATATGAATTTATATTTACGTTAATTTATATATTCCGATAGCAAATTATATGATGAATGGACTGTATTTCTG